GGGAGAGTACAACAAGGTTGTTGATGCACTTTTACAAAGGGCATACTACCTAGGTGCGCTAATAATTGAGTGTGGTTTATCTGACGATGTAACTCGATCAATGGTGGAAGCCTACAAGGAAGACCTCGCCGCGATGGACATCATGCGCAAACTTGACGCCCAAGACAAGGCCACATCAAATGAGACTATGATGGTGGATGGGTTACTCTTTTTTGAAAAGACAGGGTTCAAAAGATTAGTTGTTCCATTTAGTGAAATTTCGCGTAGTTTGTTTTTAGGCGAATGTCATGACGCGACTAGTCACTTCGGCTACAGGAAGACTAATGCTAATTTAGTGCAGTGCTTTTGGTGGCTGGTGTGCTTAACGATGTAAAAAAGTACGTTCAGACTTGTCACGTCTGTCAGCGGGATAAGCCGCGAACTCAAGCTCCACTTGCTGAAGCCTTTACCCATTCCTTCTGGTCCGGAAGATACTGTCTCCATGGACTTCACCAGCAAGAGTGGCAAGAGGCACATCTTCATCATAGTAGAGCGGTTCACTAAGTATGCTAGATTTATCGCCATGCTTGAGACAACAAGGACTGAACATGTTATCAAGTTATTCATGGATAACTTGGTGGGTGATTTTGGACTGCCAAAGACTACCGTTAGTGACTGAGATGTCCGTTTCACCAACGAAATGTGGAAGAAGGCTGCAAAACAGATAGGCGGTCAACTCCAAATGACTTCGGGGAATCATCTCGAGTCAAACGGCCAAGCAAAACAGATGAACCGTGTGGTGCAGCATCTAGTGAGGCACTATATTAAGCCCAGCCAGGATGATTGGGATGAGAAACTACCTCTCATCGCCAGTCTGTACAATAATGTTGTACACAGCACCACCAACGCCAGTCATAACCAGCTGCATTTGGGGTGGAAGCCTAGATCTGCACTAGACTTCCTCCTACCTGAAAACTGACTGACTGCAACTCCTGGAACCATTGAATTTGGTGTCCAGTATGAGAAATTGTTGCAGCGGGCTGTCGAGCACGTAAGGAAATCTCGAGAGGCAATGATTGCCTCTGAGAACAAGCATAGACGATAGTCCACAATTCAGGTAGGGGAACGAGTCTGGGTAAAGCCTAGTGAACTGGGTCAGGAATTCGGAATCTCTCGAAAGCTAATACCACAGTACTTCGGTCCTTGGGAAGTCTTGGATATTGTGCGTAGTGATTGGATGGACCCTCGTATGTCATTAGAATCCCTAGACATCTGCACACTTACCCTGTGTTTCACACTTCAAAGCTTGCACCTTTCGCTGAGACGGATATGTTCCCATCAAGAAGGTCCATGCTGCCCCCAACCATGGATGCCCACGTGGACGTCAACGACATTTTGGAACACAGAGACGTGTCTGTTCCCAAGCCTGCTGGCAGGGGAAGACCACCCAAAACTATGAGGGAATACCGGGTCAGGTTCAGGCAGCATACGGATCAAAAGGAAGGTCGTTGGTTCACAAAGTAGGAGCTTGTTAAAACAACACCTCAGATCGTGGCAGACTACGAACGAAGACTGAAGGGAAAGGCACCTGCGTACAACGGAACAAGCATCTCAGCGGACTTTCGAAGCTAAGGGGGATGGAATGCAAGGACTGAGCCCTGACGGCGCCCTAACAGACATACAAGTGTTCTCGGCTGTGGGCCCCAGCAAGCCTTGTGGCAGCCCTAAGTGAAGGCGGGCCTGAATATCCACAAGAGGCCTATTTTTGACATTCTCCATATATCGATACACAGACAGTTGCAGCACGCCAGTTGGTTGCAGGGAAACGTGAGCCCCAGGCTCACTCCAGAAAACAAGGACTGCGATATACTGTTGAGCCCAGGGCCAGGTGGTTGCTCCCTGCGCACACGCAGCATGAGGCCGACACGTCACACAGCGGCCATGGACGAATGAGAAAGCAGCATTGTCGTCACACAATCTCCACGAGCCAATGAGAATGTGGCCAACACTTGGAGCCTGGGAGGCTACCTATACGTGCCGAACCGAAAAGAGCCCTGGCCCTTAACTGTAGAGGTGGGCCTGGGCGAAGAGACTGGGGCCCGACTGGAAGCTACTGGAAACTTCCCCAACCAGGCCCAGGCAGACACATTGTGACATACTGCGTAGCCACACGGGCCCTGCAGGGCGCGTCCCGCACTTTCAGCCTAAAAGCCTAACACTTAGGGCTTACAGGACCCGTCGTTCAGCCTGAAAGCTGAAATACGAGGGTCTGCAGGCCCTACTCCGTTTCAGCCTATTTCTGGGCCCAGAGTTTTTCCAGCCTGAAACGGAGGGCCTTTTTCAGGCCCTCATTGTTTCGACCACCCCTAAGACTCAGGCACGAATACAGGGTTTCGGAACATGCCAGAAATAGCCTGTTCCTCACGAGCTTGAGCAGGAGCTGCAGCTGCAGCCCCTGCCTCCCTTCGGCATTGGCAAGAGCAGCCTCCTGGACTGCTCGCACGAGTAAGGAGGCACACCCGGTAGTACATAGGATTGTCCCATGCACTTTACGGGGAGGTAGTTGTCAGTAGGCACGAGTAGTCTTCAGGATTCGGCCGCAGCACTCAGGAGGAGCGCTGCAGTAGTCTTTCGCGCTAGGAAGTACTATTAACGCTAGTAGTAGTCTTCGGCGCTGGGCGCCCATAGCCATAGTTGTAGTCTTCAGCGCTGGGCGCTATAGGTGGTAGATCGTAGAGTTGGAAGGGATGGCTGGCGGAGGCCACCGGTACTTACCTGTGGCGCCATAGCACCAACTCCATCTTCTAGGTACCTGCATCAAGGCGCCAACTTCACAGGTAAGTACTGAACAGAGAGAGAGAGAGAGAGAGAGAGAGAGAGAGAGAGAGAGAGAGAGAGAGAGAGAGAGAGAGATCTTCTTCTTCCTCTTCTAAGTCCACCATCTCTTCTCACCCTCTAACCACCTGACTTCTCAGACTACGACAGAGAGAGAAAGAGTTGTGACTTGAGACTTGACGACATTGAATCCAGACTGGATATTTGGGATTCACACATTTCGACGAGGGACTATTTGGGCATGTGCCGAGACTTGGTGTTGACGATATTCCCATCTTCCCCTCCTCTTTCGTCTAACCCCTCCTTCGTCTGTGTATGGTTGGGGTTGGCGCAGTCTTCCTGTGTGGAGCGCCAGACCCCCTTCACACCAGATAACGATGATGATGATGTGTGTTCAGGGCTGCATTGCAATATTGATTGTTCGGATCRTTAGTATCTAAGTCTTCCGCTGTGTTATCTTGTACTTTGTATTGAGAGGTTTGTTCTTGTTSTGRTCTGCACGTTACAGTATGCAACAGTTTGGTATCGGAGCGGACCTTTAATTCATAGGACCCGCTCAATCAAATAGCCAGCTTGCTGATCTAGTGATCACTCATTAGTAACKCAAGTAGGACTTRRTCAAATCTCTGAAWTTTTTTTCTCGCAACAACTATCGGAAATTTATGATATTCGCATTTCGTTTTACCTGAAAATTTCTGATATTAGTAGTTCGTTTTTACGTAACAAATATCTGAAAAATTCTGATAAATCGCATTTCGTTTTRTCTGAAAATTTTCGATAGTAGCTTTTCGTTTCTCTGATATTTTYGCATACATAGCTGAAATTTCTGAAGTTAGTATTTCSTTYTCTAGGCATATTGGGATAACGATAGAAGTGGTYATATTCTCGGAAACTSGAATTATTCTTTTCTGAAAATCGAATTTCCATTCTATCTCGCAAAYTTTTTTTGAAAATCGAAATCTTGCWAAGCCTACCAATATTGCGTTAGGCATATTCGGAGGTTGCCATATTCTCAGAAACTGGATTTCGTTCTTTTCTAAAAATCGCATCTTTACTCCATTTCACAATATTTTTTTTTCAAGATCGCAGTTTGTAAAAGCCAAAACTTTGCGGAACCTAGCCTAGATCTCGTTCATAATACTCTTCTGACTTGTCCTACTCATAATAGATCGACAGATATACAAAAAAAAAGAAAAAAAAAAAAGAAGTCCTCTTTTATTTTTTTATTTTATTTTTATCTGTTGATTAGGGCCGGAGGAAAGTATTGTTGGGATTGGTTTCCTACCTGCGTTTTCCCTCCCACCCACCCTTTGCATACATTTCCGGGTTGGTATAGTGACACGTCAGCACTGCCACGTCAGACAGAGTGCCACGTCAGCAGTGTCACGTCAGACATAGTGCCACGTTAGACACAGTGACACGTCAGCAGGCCACGTCAACAGTGACACGTCAGCAGTGCCATGTCAGACACAGTGACACGTCAGCTACAGTGACACGTCAACAGGCCACGTGAACAGTGACACGTCAGCTACAGTGTCACGTCAGCAGTGCCACGTAAGCAGTGCCACGTCAGCAGTGCCACGTCAGACACAGTGCCATGTCAACAACATGACGCGACTACCAGGCCAACTGGCCAATGAGCCTATTGCCGACTGCAAAAAGCGCTTCCAGGCTCAGCTCGCTTTCATCGAAGCTGAGGAACAACGCCAGCTGGCAGCCGCGGCTGCCCAGCTACAGGCTGAAGAAGCGGCAACAGCAGAGAAGTTCCAGCTACAGGCCGAAGCAGACGCAGATGCCCAGGCTCGCCGCAAGGAAGCCCAGGATCTGCTGCAGCGATATGAAGCCAACATCATCGACAGACTCAAGTTCTTGCACTTTGAACCGAACGGCGACGAGGCAACACCGGAAGAGCAGCATAAGGAGTTCATGGCCAAGCTCGTGACCAGGTTGGTTTACACTTGTAACCACCTATAGTCCGAGTTGGCGAACCTCCAGCGGGCCGTGCGGAACCATAAGGCTCAGCACGAGGATGCCACACGGGCACTGGACGCCCGTGTACAAGACTTGGAACAAGTTCCACCAAGACCAGATGTTGGGGCTTCCAGCAGTGCATCCTCTAGCCACCAACTGGAGGAACGCGTTGACCACCTAGTGGCAATGCTAGGAGACATAAGTACCTTAACAGAGCCGCCCACCATCAGCCAGCGGTTCGAGTTGCTGGACACCAAGATCAGTCAGTAACAGCAGACCGACCACAGCCACAACAACAGTTCGGCGAGGCCATACAAGATGCCGACGTTCCGGATCGAGAAATTTGATGACTACACACATCAAGACCCGGACGTCTGGTGGCAAGGATTTACAACGGAGTTGGGGATTCACGAGATCCCTTACCATCTGTTCATCAGTGCTCTGTTCATCAACACCAAGGGAGGATGTCAGATCTGGCTCAGCCACATGGCAACCATCCACGGCATCCAGGTTTCAGACCTGTACAAGAAGGTCTCATGGGAAGATATGACAAAGGAATGGAAGAAGCGGTTCATCGTCGACGACGCCCCGGCACTCTCCATCAACCGCATCTTCACGATGGCTCAAGGGAGCACACCGACACGTGACTGGCTCACGAATTGGCAGAAGATCGTGGCAACGCCCGATTTGGACTTGCCGTTTCCGCATATGCGGCGTGAGTTCTACAACAGGTCATGCGCCGCTCTCAGCCTCGCACTTGGTAATCGCGAGCAGTACAACACTTTCGCAGAGATCATCAACAAAGCGAGAGAGATCATCAAGACCAACAGGGCAGCTGCACACGAGAAGTCAACGTGGCAGCCAACCTATGTAGAGAAGGTAAGAACTGGTCCGCGACAGCAGCAGTTTGCTGCAGTCCAGTAGGACAGTGGAGAAGATCCAACAGCCACTCCAGCATCACATGAGGGACATCAGGTGGTTGCTGTCCAGCCTCGAAGCAACAACAAGTCCCGGAACAATTGGAAGGCGAAACCAGCATCACAGGCCGGAAATGGACAGCCAGCACCACCATGGGTCAAGTTCGGCTTGACCGAGCCCGAGTACAAGTACCGCGACCATTACGGCTGCCGCTACTGGTGCAACAGTACCAAGCACAAGACCTCTCTTTGCCAGGATCAGGCCAAGGAGGATGTGCGACCTCGGCTCAACTCGAAAAACTGAGTTTCGCGGGAGGTGAGGCGACTCCACCCCCCACTCCGCCAGATTCGGCCGCCTTGCTAGCGGCCTCCTACACATCTGGGGAGGATGCGAATGTCGCAAGTCCTCGGTACACTTACGAGGATTATGCTGTCCACTTGGTTCCACCGCTGGACCAACCGCTCCACGTGCAACAATCTACCGCATGCACGGTTTCATCACCATCGGCAACCGATTCGGCAGCTTCGCCGTCATCTACCGCCGGGGATTCAACGACATGGTCAAGTCTTGAAAAACTCGACCCGTTGACTTTTGAGGACTTCCAATGGATGCCCATGCCCCGATCCGGTCGCTTGCCAAAACCGCATTGCAACGTGCTCAAGGCACAATTGCGAGATTACTTGCACACTGCAGTACCGACTCCGTTGATGGACGCCGGAGTAGAGGTTGTCGACCTTCACGCGTACATTGCAAAGATCGACCGCGAGTTCAATACGCAACGGTACGACGACATCGACGCACCATTGCTATATGTACTCATTCTGATTGGAGAGGCGACCTGCAACGCTTTGATTGATTGTGGAGCATCTCGCAACTACGTGAGTCAGGACTTCATGGTACGCGCCGGTCTTGGCCCACGAGTCCGAAGAAAGTCCCAGCCCACGCAAGTCACAATGGCAGACGGTCACACGCACAAGTCAATCGACCGGTGCATTGACGACGTCCCAATGTACTTTGCCCCTCACGCAAGTGAGGCGGTGTCCTTTGACATTCTGGACACCAAATTCGACATGATCTTGGGCATGTAATGGCTGCGAAGCAAGGACCACCCGGTGAACTTCTAACGCCGCACCGTTCACATTCGTAATGAGAACGGAGTACTAGTCCTATGCACGGTAGCTCCTCCTCACCCTTCAGTTAGCTGTCACGTGGTATCCGCCGCAAGCATGCGAGCTTCCATCATCAGAGATGACATCGAGGAGATGGGGGTGTGTTTTCTCCACGCCCTCCCGCCCCAAGACTCGTCACCGACGGACTCACCTTCGGATCCATGGATCGCCCAACTTCTCGACGCCTACAACGACGTGTTCGAAGGCCCGCATGGAGTAGTACCGGATCGACCCATCTGCCACGAGATCATCCTCGAGGACGGGGCCGTACCTCCACGCGGTTGCATCTATCGAATGAGCGAGGAAGAGTTAAGTGTGCTTCGGGCACAACTCGACGACCTGCTGGAGAAAGGCTGGATTCGGCCTAGCTCATCGCCATACGGTGCTCTTGTTCTCTTCGTCCGGAAGAAGAACAAGGATTTGCGGTTGTGCATCGATTATCGCAAACTCAACGAGCAGAAGATCAGAAACGCCGGCCCTCTCCCACGCATCGACGATCTTCTCGAGCGACTGAGCGGCGCAAAGTTCTTCTCCAAGCTCGATGTCAAGTCGGGATATCACCAACTCGAGATTCACAAGGAGGATTGCTAGAAGACCGCGTTTAAGACGCGATATGGACATTTCGAATGGCTGGTCATGCCATTTGGCCTTACGAATGCCCCAGCCACTTTCCAAGCGGCTATGACAACGGAGTTCCAACACATGCTGGATCGTTACGTACTTATCTACCTTGATGACATCCTGGTGTACAGCCGGAGTTTGGAGGAGCAAGTGGAACATCTGCGCACCGTTTTGGAGCGGCTACGTCAAGCCAAGTACAAAGCCAACCGCGACAAGTGCGAATTCGCGCGGCAGGAGATGGAGTACTTGGGACACTATGTGACGCCGAAAGGCATCCGTCCGCTTGCGGACAAGATCGAGGCCCTACGAGTATGGCCCGAGCCCACCAACACCACAGACGTTCGTTCATTTAAGGGGTTGGCGGGCTACTATCAGCGATTCATCAGTGGATACTCCAGGATTGCTGCACCTATGACGAGGTTACAGTCGCCAAAGGTGCCATTAGTATTCGATGACGACGCACGCCAGTCATTCCAAGCACTTAAGACGGCTATGCTTATGACACCCGTCCTTAGCATATATGACCCCACAGTGCCGACGAGAGTGACTTCAGACGCTTCCGGCTATGGCATTGGGGCAGTCTTGGAACAGCACGACGACGACGATTGGCACCCTGTGGAGTATTTCAGCCACAAAGTGCCTCCCATCAACTCGCTTGATGATGCAAGGAAGGAGCTGCTCGCATTCGTCATGGCTCTCAAGCGATGGCGGCACTTCCTCCTTGGGCGTCGTAGGTTCACATGCGTTACGGACAACAATCCATTGACCTACTACAAGACCCAGGATACGGTGAGCAGCACGATCGGACGATGGATGTACTTCATCGACCAGTTTGACTTCACACCGAAACATCTTCCCGGCCTCTCCAATCGCGCAGTAGATGCACTGTCGCGAAGACCAGATCTTTGCGCTATGACACATCATGCCTTCGCATTCAATGAGGAACTTCAGCGACACTTCATCCGGGCATATGAGTCTGATCCGGACTTCGCCACGCTTTATGCACAACTATCTTCGGATCACCCGCCGGCCAACCACTATTGCATTGTCGACGGGTACTTGCTCCTCCACTCGAGAGGCAAGGACTTACTATGTGTCCCACGCGACCGCCGTCTTCGGACCCGCCTCCTCGGTGAGTATCATGATTCACGACTAGCCGGCCGTTTCGGAGTTAACCGCACTATTGCACGGCTTCGACAACGATTCCGATGGCCCGACCTCATTACCGATGTCACTCGGTATTGCGACTCTTGCGAAGTTTGCTGACGCAGCAAGCCCCGCAACCGCAATCCCTACGGCGAGTTACGCCAAATGCCTTTCCCACGGGAAGCTGGTCTCTCCATTGCCTTGGACGTCACCGGTCCGTTTCCCCTCGACCGACTCGGGCACGGCGGCATCCTCACGGTTGTGGACCGATTGAGTAAGTATGCGCGTTTTCTCCCTTGCAAGTACTACTCCACGGCTCCCGAGCTGGCACGCCTCTTGCACACTGGTTGGATTTGTGGCCACAGTGTAACAGAAGACATAGTCAGCGACCGCGACACTCGTTTCATGTCAACATTTTGGACTGCGCTCATGCAGGAGTCCGGCACGACGATGAAACCAAGTTCGGCTCGGCATCCACAGACAGACAGGCAGACGGAGCGGGCACATCAAACCGCTCAAATGATGCTTCGTATGCTCATCCGTCCGGACCAGAAAGATTGGGTTGACCGCTTCCTGGAATTCGAGTTCGCCTACAACACTTCGGTGCATCCGGCGATCGGCATGACTCCATTCGAGTTGCACCACAGTGGACGGAAAGACCGGATCTTCGTCGACCTTCTCCTCCCTCGACCAGCCTACATTGACACTGCCTGCTCTCCTGCTTCCGTCCGGAAGTACAGGGAATTGTTGACTCAAGCCCGCACGAACATGCAAAAGGCTCAAGTCCGCATGCAGCAGCAAGCCAACAGGCGTCACGTACCATGTCCCATCCGCGCCGGTGATCTGGTTTGGGTCTCCAAGGAAGAGTTTGCACTGGAACAGGATGTTTCACGCAAACTGCTTCCCAAGTGGTTTGGACCTTGGTTTGTGACAGCAGCCGTGGGCGATGAGCCCGATGGCCCTTCATTTGTGATCAACATTCTCGAGCA